GGCAGGACCTTCATTAGTAACCTCGGAGAGTGTAAAGAATCGAACATGCGCTGCTGGTGTTACTCTGCACCAGCCATCCAGCCAACTGAGCTAACCAAGCCCCATTCTCCCCTATTCCTGACCATAACACTAAACGCAACATAGTATAAATCACCATTTATTCAGTTGCCGCAAGGATTCTGCTGACCTTGCAGTGGTCGATTAGGAGTCATAGAACCCTACAGCGTGGGAGCAGGCCATTCCACCCACAGAGTCCACAACAGCCCTCTGAAGAGCTTCCCACCCAGTCCCAACACTACCTATCCCTGTAACTCTGTACTTCCCATGGCTAGTCCACCTAACCCATACATCCCTAGACACTATGGGCAATTTAACACGGCCAATCCACCTAACCTGCACGGCTTTGGACTGTGGGAAGAAACCAGAACATCTGGAGGAAACCCACACAGACATAGGGAGAACATGCAAACTCCACACAGACAGTCACCCAAGGTTGGAATCAAACCCAGGTCCCTGGCACTGTAAGGCAACAGTGCTAACCACTGAGGCACCATGCCGCCCAACAGTGCAAATATTCCACTGTCTAATGAGGTTTTGTGCAAGGAGTGTTTGCTCATTGTGTTCGTGGTGTATTAATTTTATTGCCAGACTCCATTCAGATCTTATACATTTCAGAACCAGATTTGTCTAAAACACATTATGGCTAAATTCCATAGGGATTCTCTTGATATCCTGCCACAATTTTTGTTTTGATGCAAAATTGTCAGAGTCCTAGTCAAATAGTATAAGTGGCTGTGCAGCAGTCTTTTACTACTCTGTTTATGCTCCCAAAATATCTCACACCTCTTAAAGCTGAAAACTCACACTCTCATGGATTCAGCAGACATTGTACAAATGATGGCACTAAGAGCTTTTGGGTGTTAAGGAGGATAGTGGAATTCATCTTTGACAGTGATGCAAAACAAGCAACAGTGAATCAGCAGCCAGTTTAACACAATGGAACAGAAAATCAGGTAGAGTGTAACATGGTTGGCAAATGTGCAAAGGTCATTTTATGTAACTCTACCTGCCTCCCCAGTTCAACCATAAATTACAATATGTCATAGAGCCTTTTAAATTATATGGCATATTATTTTGCATAAATGTTTGCAATACCATTAGATGAGTGACACAATCATAATTACAGGTCATTCTTACACATTAGTCAAGGCATCCAGCCCTTGGAATACATCCTTTGGAAGTGTCTTGAGATTGTTATTTGCCAAGCTTCTGTCAAAATAAAAATTGAGAAATTGTTATTTACAGTTATATTGCATTTGGCAAATTCAACATAGGTCTTCATTGAGACCAGCTCAGATCCCGTTTTACGTCCAGTACAGAGAAGCCAATTTCATAGGCGCCGTTTATAAGATTTGATCCTGCTTCAGGCAAAGTTACATTAACCAAAGTTTAATCCATAAGCACTACAGATCAACCCTACTGCTTACTTACCATACCTTACCACATCCATACAAAATTATGGTTTTAGAGATTCCTATGAAATTTATGGACGCAAAAGAGAGAGAAAATACAAGAATTCTATGTAATTGTATGTATTTTTTCTTATAATATTACTTAAATATATTGCTTGTTCAATTTTTTTTGCGAAGTTCATGTTTCAACTGAGTGTTTCATTAGAATCTTATGAATCTTCTACCTGGAGCAATATCACAGACATGCAATGCAATGAATTCTTTTATTCATTTATGGGATGAGGGCATCAGTGGCTAGGCAGCATTTATTGCCCATCCCTAATTGCCCAGAGGTCAGTTGAGAGTCAACCACATTGCTG